CTTAATTAGGCACGAGTGGCCCCGTCGTCATCAGCAGTGTCAGAATCCTATGATCGTGGGTTCAAGTCTGAGATTCGCCCTAATTATAATCCCTTGGTTTGTTTGCACCACAAACTCGTGGGCTCCGGCATGTGGTCAACGAGTACGACCTCCACCCCACATCAAGCTGACGCACCGCCTCCGTGGTCTAGTGGTAGAGCGTTCGCCCGGATAAATACGTTAAAAGATGGTACTTGTTGTTACCGGCATTAAAGGGCTAAAACAAGGACTGGTCGGCTCAGTATTCTATGTCTGAGTGGAGTATTCATGTTAAACTGGGGCATGGTATCTCAGTGAGCTAGCACTATAAATCGGCATCAGTCCGGACTAGTACAAGCAGCCACACACACACACACACACATGTGCATGCACGTCGCTATATAAGTGCAATAATCTTGGACGTGACGTTAAACCCCATTTCACCTCACCTCACCTCAGGCTGACGCGAAGTGCCAGAGCTGTAATATTGTTCAAAGCGGCGTCAAGACAAACTCACTCACAGCGCGAAACATACCACCATGAAGACATGACAAGCATACTATCTGCGTCGAATATGTGACAATACAGCGCTCTTAAATAATGTCTTGTACCGGCCCAGTGCTGTCATAAAACACTTGCAATGAAATAGTGCAATCACAAACATGCCGATATGCTATTTCGGGGTATTGTATTGACGCACTTTTTTGCTGCTGAACAAACTATAGAAAAAACAGGGTGAACAGTTGGACACAGAGTTCCACTCTGTGAATCCGAATCAGCTGTTCGGTGGAGCGTGCATTGAAGAAGGTAGCAGCTATGATTGGATGATATTTCTTGTGGCTGGACAGTAACAGGGGAAGCAACTCCGTCTGTCATAACGCGAACTGAGTGATAAGCATCAACAAGAACACATGTCAGCTTTTTTTGTGGTTCGAAACCAGTCACCATGTTTTTAATGTCTTTTTTTTTTAAACCGTTTCTTTTCTTTTTGGCTCTACCGACCTAATCAGCAGCAACATGTTATGTATATGTATTTATTATTTATTTATATCTTTATTTGTTCATATCATGTAATCTACAGAAATAGCAAATAAAAGTATAGCCCATGATGGGAATCATCATAATATTTATAATTACGTTGTAGTATCTTGTATCACATACATGTTGTTACGTCATACTATGTTTAGACCGCCTCCGTGGTCCAGGAGTAGAGCGTCCGCCCGGAGAGCGGAAGGTCCGGGGTTCGATCCCCGGCCGCGTCATACCAAAAGACGTTAAACGGTGGTACTTGTTGTTACCCTGTCTGGGCCCCGGCATTAAGTGTCAAAAACAAGGACTGGTCGGCTCGGAGTCAGTATTCTGTGTCTGAGTGGGGTATTCATGTTAAACTGCGGCATGGTATCTCAGTGAGCTAGCACCATAAATCGACATGAGTCCGGACTAGTACAAGTAGCCACACACAAACACACACGTGCATGCACGCCGCTATATAAATGCAATAATCTTGAACGCGACGTGAAACCCCATTTCACCTCACCTCAAATTTCCATGTTTATGATTTTCCGTACGCTTCAAAGGCCTAATGTTTTCACTTGTAGTCTCCCTTTAACTGTAAAGCCTCCAACAACATCATAATCTGTACATTAGTTCAGCACATGTTCGAAATGAGAAACGGTGCCCTCTCTGTGTAGGTCATACCAAGGTTTTATAAAGGTATATACTTATATAACGTAGCATTTGTATCATTATAAAAAATATATACAGTAAAATAACGTATTGTGCCTTAACTGTTTACACCCGGCTCATTTATCGTATACAAGCATGTGTTTATGCATCACTATGAAATCGTGATGAAACCACGTGTTCTTGATTATAGTGGATGCCGATGGGTAATTTTGGGTAAATTTCTTTTTATCTACGAATATACTAAACTACCACTACCTTCCCCTATAGTACGCCATTTGTGTTTTAACCGTGACCCTCGCGGGGATGACAATTTATCACGTGGCGGCCAACCAGTTAGAAGAAAACGATAAATTGGGGAATATATGCACGGTTTCAGCATACAGTGGCCATTGTAGGACTTAACTTGCCGAGAGTGAGTTTGGGCTTGATATGGGAGGAAAGTGAGGCAGACCGTAATCGTTTGCGGATGGTCCGGGGTTCGATTCCCGCCCGCGTCAACCTAAAAGGCGTTAAATGATGGTACTTGTTGTTACCCTGCCTGGCGCTCGGCATTGAGGGGGCTAGCCCAAAGGTAGGCTCGGAGTCAGTATACTGTGTCTGAGTGTGGTATTCATGTTAAACTATGGCATGGTATCTCACTCACACTCACTCAATCCAGCGATTTGAGAAACATTCCAGAGTGGAAATTAATCTGTCAAATTTGCATCCAACTCAGTGTGCAAAAACCATCATACAACTTAATTAGGCACGAGTGGCCCCGTCGTCATCAGCAGTGCCAGATTCCTATGATCGTGGGTTCAAGTCTGAGATGTGCCCTAATTATAATCCCTTGGTTTGTTTGCACCACAAACTCGTGGGTTCCGGCATGTGGTCAACGAGTATGACCTGCACCCCACATCAAGCTGACGCACCGCCTCCGTGGTCTAGTGGTGGAGCGTTCGCCCGGAGAGTGGAAGGTCCGGGGTTCAATCCCCGGCCGCGTCATACCAAAATACGTTAAAAGATGGTACTTGTTGTTACCGGCATTAAGGGGCTAAAACAAGGACTGGTCGGCTCAGTATTCTGTGTCTGAGTTGGGTATTCATGTTAAACTGCGGCATGGTATCTCAGTGAGCTAGCACTATAAATCGGCATCAGTCCGGACTAGTACAAGCAGCCACACATACACACACACACACACACACACATGTGCATGCACGTCGCTATATAAGTGCAATAATCTTTTGTTCGGTGGAGCGTGCATTGAAGAAGGTAGCAGCTATGATTGGATGATATTACTTAAGATGTTAATGTGTTTGAATCTACATTCACCCTGCAGTTAAAATGACCATGGTTTTTTTCCCATTTATTTTGTGGTTTTGGACACCATTACTTATGCTGAATGTGTCTAAATAGATTTTAAAACATGTCTCATTTGGTGCAGAACTGTGGTTGGTCTATTTAGGTTCCTGTACTCGGAAATCGAGCTGGGAAGTTGATTCAAAAAAATATTTCAAAGATGGAATCAAGATATTTATGAAAGATCAATCCGTGACCTTATAGAAGCGATAAACAAGTGTCCGTTGTAGTTCATCGACGTGATCTCCTCGCAAGAACAATGGGTTACAATCCCCATCTTAAGGTGTTCAGCAGGAGCAAGAAACGTTGGTATATTTACTTGTTTGTTTAACTCCGCACTCGGCAGTATTCCAGCTACATGATTGCGGTCTGTAAATAATCGAGTCTGGTACAGACAATCCAGTGATTGACATCATGACCATCGATCTACGCAATTGGGATACGATGACATGCATGAACCAAGTCGGAGAGTCTGACCACCCGATCACCTCTTATGACAAGCATGGGTTGCTGATGACCAACTCTAACCCGTGTCTTCACGGGGTTACATGGGTATAATAGAATATTACATGTCTATAACAAACACTTCAAGTGGGTGAGCCATAGTGGTGTTGATGCTACGGCAATACACAGGGTTGCCTCACACGTCCCCACCTTGGGGAAATCAGCGTTGCGAATAATCGTTTAACCGCTTGGCCACAATTCACCATTCCATTTCTTGTAAGTATGATATAATAATCAACTTTATATACTCATTTATTTAGTTAATACAGTCCGGGTTCCATATGAAGAGACCGCCTCCGTGGTCTAGTGGAAGAGCGTCCATCCGAAGAACGGAAGGTCCGGGGTTCGATCCCCGGCAGCGTTTTACCCAAAGGCGTTAAAAGGGGGTACTTGTTGTTACCCTGCCTGGCACTCGCCATTAAGAGGCAAAAGCAAGGACAGGTCGGCTCGGAGTCACTATACTGTGTCTGAGTGGGGTATGTTAAACTGCGGCATGGTATCTCACACAAACACGTCGCTATATAAGTGCAATGATCTTGGACGCATCGTGAAAGCCCATTTCAACTCACCTCACCGATATCCAGAACTGTTTGTGGAGGAAAAGATAGCACCTCGAAGGCGTACGAAATATCAATCACTGGTTTGTCTGCACCGGACTCAATTATTTACAAGCTGGACTATTGCTAGGTGCCGCGTTAAACAAACAGACTTCGCCGTGAGAACTGAAAGTACCGAGATTGTAACCACTACACAAGATACAGCACTGACAGACCTTGGTCGAAAACTGCAAATCATCATTTGTATATATTCTATTTGAAATATATTAAGCATATATGTTACTCGAACACTGTACGGCTTTGGTATATTAATGAAAAAATGTTTGTGTTGTAGGCTCATACACAAACAAACATAATAAATAAGAACCCGTATACAGAGAGTAAACGTGGAATTTCTTGCATAGATTTAAATGCTCCCTGAACCGTGGTCAGCATCATACCCCTGCTCCTGGGTTTCACAAAGACGGAAACACCTGCATCACTTTAAGTTTCAACTGATAGACCCGTGACGATCCGGGGTAGAATGGGTATTCAGCAACCCATGCTTTCCGTAAAAGGCGACTATGCTTGTCGTAAAAGGCGACTAACGGGATCGGGTGGTCAGGCTCGCTGATTTGGTTCGTGCATGTCATCGTATCCCAATTGCGTGGATCGATGCTCATGATGTCAATCACTGGATTGTCTGGTCCAGACTAGATTATTTACAGACCGCCGTCATATAGCTAGAATATTGCTGAGTGCGGCGTTCAACAACAAATAAACAAACAAACAACGCATTACACACACGCGCATGTCGACCTTGTATGAATAAATTTGACTACTGCATTAATAGCGAATATACTGGCAAACAACGATTCTTGTGACATGAGACATTTTCTATCGATTGAGATGCAGCTCTTAAGGAATATCAGAAAGCTTAACATAGTTTATCAATAGACGTGGCAAAGGGAGACAATCCACCTCTGAAAGCCTCCGACCAAGTTGGTCCCTGATCTTCCAACAGCTGAGTCTCTTTAGTGAATTTGGAATTCTAGCGACTCGTCTCACATGCGACACAATCTGTTTAATAACTGGTAGTCCCTCGTTGAACCCAGAGTAGTCTAACTTTGCTGGACATCCCGACTTTAACAGAAGCTTGGCCGCAGAATCATTACCCACCTCGACTGCGATGTGCAATGGCGAATATCCACAACGTCTTCTGTGTGTACGGACATTCAAATCCACGACCAAATACCGAATTATATCGGAGCGTTCATATATAATCGCTAGCTCCAGAGGAGTGTATCCGTTGCAGTCCTCCTCCTCCGGGTCTGCTCCGAATGAAGACAACAATTTCATCATGTCCAAGTTCTCTCGTTTTGTTGCTGTCGAGAACGCCGTATTACCACCGAGGTATTCAGTTTTCGCTCCCGCCTCTAACAAAATCCGAACAACACATATATCTCCATGCAACGTTGCGTGATGAAGGGGTGGGCATCCGTAACTGTTGACCTCGTTTACCATGGCTCCTTTTGAAATGAGATATTTCACTATCTCTGGTTGGTTTTCTTTGGCTGCCACATGCAAGGGTGATGTCCGTTCGAAATGCATTGCCCCGGATATATTTGCTCGGGATTCGACAAGAAACCGGACAATGTCAAGACTACCGTTGTAAATCGCCATCGATAAAGGCGTCTCTGATTCAGCGTCTTTAGAGTCCACATCAACTCCATGGTTGTCGACCAGCGATTTTACGACGTCGAGATGTCCGTTTCGACATGCGCAGTGAATAGGCATGCGCTTAAAGAACTTTTCATTTCTCCGATAGTTTGGATCGAATCCAGAGTTGATCAAAAAGTCCAGAATAGTCACGTGACCTTTTTCTGCGACGCTGATAACCGGATACACACAATAGCGAAGATCATATATGTCTTTATCCATGTAACGTTCGTGAGAAACTTTCCGTGTTTCCACGTACGACACAACCATATCAAAGATAGCGTCTTCATCACAGATGAGACTGGTTATCTTATCAAAATCTTTCATCGTCTCGAGTGAGACATTCTTATAGCAATCCATTTTCCCTTCACTTCCGCGTGCATTTCTTGTGGCTTGCCATTAGTAACAGGGGAAGCAACTCCGTCTGTCATAACGCGAACTGAGTGATATGCATTAACAAGAACACATGTCCGCCTTTTTGTGGTTCGAAACCAGTCACCATGTTTTGAATGTCTTTTATTTTTTTAAATCGTTTCTTTTGTTTTTGGCTCTACCGACCTAATCAGCAGCAACATGTTGTTACGTCATACTATGTTTAGACCGCCTCCCTGGTCCAGTGGTAGAGCGTCCGCCCGGAGAGCGGAAGGTCCGGGGTTCGATCCCCGGCCGCGTCATACCAAAAGACGTTAAACGGTGGTACTTGTTGTTACCCTGTCTTGGGCTCGGCATTAAGGGGATAAAACAAGGACTGGTCGGCTCGGAGTCTGTATTCTGTGTCTGAGTGTGGTATTCATGTTAAACTGCGGCATGGTATCTCGGTGGGCTAGCACCATAAATCGACATGAGTCCGGACTAGTACCAGCAGCCACACACAAACACACGTGCATGCACGCCGCTATATAAATGCAATAATCTTGAACGCGACGTGAAACCCCATTTCACCTCACCTCAAATTTCCATGTTTATGATTTTCCGTACGCTTCAAAGGCCTAATGTTTTCACTAGTTGTCTCCCTTTAACTGTAAAGCCTCCAACAACATCACAATCTGTATATTAGTTCAGCACATGTTCGAAATGAGAAACGGTGCCCTCTCTGTGTAGGTCATACCAAGGTTTTATTAAGGTATATATTTCTATAACGTAGCATTTGTATCATTATTAATTTTTTTTATATAAAGTAAAATAACGTATTGTGCCTTAACTGTTTACACCCGGCTCATTTATCGTATACAAGCATGTGTTTATGCATCACTATGAAATCGTGATGAAACCACGTGTTCTAGATTATAGTGGATGCCGATGGGTAATTTTGGGTAAATTTCTTTTTATCCACGAATATACTAAACTACCACTACCTTCCCCTATCGTACGTCATTTGTGTTTTAACCGTGACCCTCGCGGGATGACAATTTACAAAAGTAGTTAGTGAGTATTGTTTTACGCGGCTTTTATCAATATTCCAGCAATATCACGGCCGGGAACACCAGAAATGGGCTTCACATATTCTAACCATACAGGGAATCGAACCCGGGTCATCGGCGTGACGAGCGAACCCTTTAACTACTAGGCTACCTTACCTCCCCTGTTAGATAAAAACCAAGAAAAAAGTACTGTTGATAAATGTTTTGACTAGGCAGAATGTCTCTGCTCTCCACAGTTACCAGTAATATTTTTTAGTGAATTTGAATTGATCCCTCTCGTCAACATCTTTTAGAAGCATGTAACGTGAACCATATTGACTCGTCGCCTACTATTGCTTTTTCGGGCTGGATATTTAACGAGCGCTTCAAGCCGTGCGGATTTAGCACTCGGCTGAATGACACCCCGGCATCACTTGTCATCATGAAGGTGATGGGGACAGGGTGTAAGATTGTACGAAACCTGGACTATTTACCTTGCATCTGTTAAATGAACAATGCGTATTATTAGGGGTAAATGTTTTTGTTTATATTATCACTACAATGATTGAGTAATATTTTATGAGCTATCGATGGGTCAGTGAGTGAGTTGGGTTTACGCCAATTTTAACAGTATTCCAGTTATATCACGGCGTGTCATCTTAATGTGGGAGGAAATCCCGAAGTGATGCAGGTCTCGGTCGTTTACCACTTCGGTGAAACCCCCGAGCACGGGTATGGTGCTGACAAACCTAGAAACATAATCGGGGCGAACCGGGATCCGATGAGGCAGGGTACGCTCGCCTTTTCGGGAAAACCTGGTATCATTACCATTTGAAAGTTATTCATAAACAAATGCTTATGATATGGTGGGAATCGAACAATGGACTCTGCTTTTAGTATATACAGTAAACTACCGTTATAACGAACTCAAAGGGACCACTAATTGTAGTTCGTAATAACCGTAATTCGTTATAAGCATATGTACAACATAATTACAACAAATGGCCGGGGCTAAAAAATAAGTTCGTTATATCGGTCAGTTCGTTATAAGTGTGTTCGTTATAAACGTAGTTTACTGTATGACTTATGGTTATGGACATGTCTTTTGCCACTTTGCCATTTAGATAATCGGTTCCTCACGTTGTTTGTTGAGTGAGTGAGTGAGTGAGTGAGTTTGGTTTTACGCCGCTTTTAGCAATATTCCAGCAATATCACGGCGGGGGACACCAGAAAATAGGCTTCACACAGTTGTTTGTTGAGATGTTCTTCGGTTACTGGTGGACTTGGCCGATATGCTGGCAGGCATTTGACTCACCTATTACCTATGATATTATGAAACTGGTAATCCGTTTACAATAAAACCCAACATCCGGATAAATGAGCGTTTCTGTGCGTAAATTAACGTCCCCAGCGGTAACCGTAGGGCGGACTGACTGGATTAACGGGGTCCGAACTCATGTGGTTTCAGTGTAGAACATCATTACACACTAACAACATTCACATTATAACGATATTCACTCCCTCACTACTTAATGTATACTGGCAGGCCGTGATATGACTAATATGACTCACTCACTCGCATACAATGGTACACTTCCTCGGCCTTTCGTGAGCAGTTCTCAGTAAACCATCTAAATAGTTACTCAACCAACATTTACCACTGTAATTTCAAGATAAGTGTATTTAAATTTCTGAGTACAATCAGTGTTCCTACAGTCGCAGGAAAGCTTAGATGTGTTTCCTAAACATATGTTCCTGACAGTTTCGGATTCGAACAATAGACTCTGTTATAGCAGCGATTTCTTACGGCTATGGAAATGGCTTTGTCGCATATATGTACATATCTTGACTTCATTCAGTGGTCCTACTGTCGCAGATGACCGGATATGTGATCCATAAACCTATGCTCATGCCAATAGACGCTGTTTGAAGCACAGATCTCTAATGATTATGGGGGCGGTCGGGTAGCCTAGTGGTTAGAGCGTTCGATCGTCACGCCGAGGACCCGGGTTCGATTCCCGACATGGGTGCAATGTGTGAAGCCCATTTCTGGTGTCCCCCGCCGTGATATTGCTGGAATAATGCTAAAAGCGGCGTAAAACAATACTCACTCACTCACTCTAATGATTATGAAAATGGCGTGTCGTCTGTATGTATATATGCACATGATGTCTTTTGATTGAAGTGTTTTGTGTATAATGTCGACACAGTGAACACAATTCCACACAAGCTGAACAGAGATGAACGAGTTTGGCGACAAAGTAAGCGAAAATTATTGTTGGTTTAAATTCATAAATTTTCCTCGCATATTTCGCACTCCTGTTGCATAAAATAATATTCAGATCACATGAGCTTTTATCATCACCCACTGACTACTGTGCCCATCCTACCATCAGTCATAGTCTGCTGTAAAGTGAAAGTACGGCACTGGCAATAACACGTTGTCGTCCATATTAAATGAGAGAGGTCGGGTCGTCTAAAATCAGCCATACATCGACGGGAACAGTTTATAAAATGACAAGCAAAAGAAAGTATACAGAAAGAAAATTAGATTTGACCAAAAATATAAAAACGTTGTAAAAACATTACTTGGCTGAAAACACCGAAACTCTGCAAATTGAACGAAAAAAACACAACTTGGATATCTCTATCTACAACATCATCATCTAACAACCATTTAATTTTGGGTTTTCTTTTAGCCACCATCAAAAATGGGTGTATACTTTCCATTGACCGGTAATTTACTTAAATAAATGTTGTCAGAATTGGACAATAAAATAGTAAGCTCAAGATCACATATGTATCATGACACAAAACTATATTGATCATGAGCAAAAATGGCCATACAATGGTATTAACTACTGCACAAACACGTAACGAATACACGTATTCAAAATCTATTATTGAGGATAATAAATATATTTCAACTCAAATGTCCTCTTACAGGGCGTTTTAAAACAAAATCTCAATTTAACACAAAACTCAATAAAATTGAATGCTTCAAAAAAGCCTTTTACGGTAAATGCAATCAGATGTTGATCAGATAATCGAGACTGATTAAATAAAAAAAATCATTTGCTGTTTAGTATAGATCAAAGATAGTAAGAGAACGGTGGTACTAACAGTGACAATTGAGCTATTGTCGGGGATTCTTCCATATGGCGAAAGTACCACTTTGTATAAAGCATGCAGAGTCCCACCACTATATGGCCCTAACGGTATATATGTAGCACCTACACACAATAAATGACCCTTTTGTTTAGTAAATCAGTTGTCAGTAATAAATACAACTGATTCAGTGATTTACCTTAACAGAATCTGTTTCAGACGTCTCAAAATGGCTGACCAAAATCACAACGAAATATAGGACCACATATGAAGTGACCGATATTCGTAACATTTATTCCAACGCGTCTACCATTAAGAATCGCCTTACATTCAATATCCTACCTAGCCGGCCCCCATATAAACACCAGTAATTTCATAAGGACACATATCCTTCCAATACCTTCTCTGCAGGAAGCTTATTCTCACTTACGCCTGTCTGAAAGATTTATCTCCCCTTGATCCCCTATTTATCCTACAGGGGGCGCATTAGGTAACGCCATTACACAGCGACTAGTCCGTTATCCTTATATTATTAACAGAAGGGTATTTCATATGCTTTGTATAGACGAATGGACGACCCATTATCGCGTTGATGCTGTTATTTTTATAATCCTGCTGCGAGATGTACTATGGACGACGAAGGACACTAACAACTTTACAGTCTTATTTGATTCTACTGAACGAAAATACAAAGACCCGATGTAACTATAGGAGAGACATTTTCTTGAATAGTTTGTGTTTTTTGCTATTTCGTTAAGATCATTTGTTTTATATTAAAACCCATCTTATTTACCGACAGACCGTACGTTGTATTTATAT